ACCTTTGAAAATCGTAACATTTTGCTTGACCTCAAGTTTGACCTTTCAGGGTCATCTGAAGTCAACTTTAACAGTCAAAATATAGGTCTTGTATTACTTCCTATATGTCAGTAATACAAACTTAATCTCTATCTGCAACCATTTAGCTTCCACAGGCGATTTGGCCCATTCTCCATAAGACCCAACGTTAAAGTACAGCGCCCCCACTAGACCCATTTCCGTCGAATCAATCAAAATGGCACTCGCACTGTACATAAAGTGTATCAGGTGAGTTGATTGCCAGATTTAGAAAAAAAGTTATCAGTTTTTGAGAAATAATTTTTTGAAATTTCAAGTCATATCTTTTAACATTGTTAATATATTCCCTGACCTCGAGACTGACCTTTCAAAGTCATCTGAGATCAACTTTAACATAGCCAATGTATAGGTCATATGTGACTTCCTATATGTCGATAATACAAACTTAATCTCTATCTGCAACCATTTGGCCTCCACAGGCCATCTTGCATATTCATAAAGTACAGCACCCCCAATAGACCCACTTCCGTTGATTAAATCAAAATGGCGCTCGCACTGTACATTGATGGTACCAAGGTAAGTTGATTGCCTGATTTAGAAAAATATTCATCACGCATTTTTGAGACATAATTTATTTAAATTTCTCAGCCCTATCTTTAACATTGGAGCCAAAATTTCAAGGGCCCATAAAATGGACAAAAATTATTCAATCAAAAATCCGAAAAAAAAAAAAAAAAAAAAATTGGAGATATGGTTTAGTAGTATGTTATTGCAAATTTACACAAAAATTCATCAGGCCAAAAAGAAAGATAAAAAATGTTCCGGACGACAGACGATGGACGACGGACGCCGGACGCCACACCACAACAACAGCTTATCGGCCCATAGGGCGGGTAAGCTAAAAACTATGCGCTAATGGCGCAAGGCGCAGGCCTAGATCATACCCTGAGTAAGAGGATGAGTTTAACCGAAGCGCTGTCTCCATGTGCTCTGAGTTAAGAGCTGTAGTAACAGGTATGAGACGAACTGTAAACTCTTGTGTTTCTTCACAGGGTTCAAGGAAGACCAGAGTCTCCAGTACCGAGCTGTGTCTCTATGAAGAGTGATGCTTCAATGAATCCTCTGTTTAACTTTCGAGGAGAGTTTAATGGTGATGAAAGATAAACCGATTCATGATATTTCTGTTAAATTATACTGTATTGTTACAGATAATGTAAAGATACTTTTTTTTTTTTTTTTGTTAGGTGCATTATATTGTTTACAGATGTGCAATAAGATGATGTGAACTGGAAGTTCTGTCTCCAGGTACTGTGAGTTAGAGTTGCAGTAAGAGGATGAGTTAAACTGGAAGTTCTGTCTCCATGTGCTGTAACTTCAAACTGCATTAACAGGATGAGTGATGAAAGGTAAATAAACCAGTTCATGTTGATATTTCTGTTTAATTATACTGCATCGTTACAGATAATGTAAAGATACTTTTTTTTTTTTGTTAGGTGCATTATATCGTTTACAGATGAGCAATAAGATGATGTGAAGGGGAAGTTCTGTCCCCAGGTGCTGTGACTTAGAGCTGCAGTAAGAGCATGAGTTTTACTGGAAGCTCTGTCTCCATGTGCTGTGACTTTGAACTGCAGTAACAGGATGAGTGCAACTGGAAGCTTGGTCTGCATGTGCTGTGAGTTAGAGTTGCAGTAAGAGGATGAGTTCAATTTGAAGCTTTGTCCCCAGGTGCTGTGAGTTAGAGCTGCAGTAAGAGGATGAGTTTAACTGGAAGTTCTGTCTCCAGGTGCTCTGAGTTAGAGCTGCAGTAAGAGGTATGAGACGAACAATAAACTTTGTTTCTGTTTTTTTTTTCCACAGGGTTCAAGTAAAAAGAGCAGAGTCTCCAGTACCCAGCTGTGTCTCTATGAAGAGTGATGCTTCAAAGAATGCTCTGTTTAACTTCAGAGGAGAGTTCAATGGTAATGAAAGGTAAATAAACCAGTTCATGTTGATATTTATGTTTAATTATGCTGTATTGTTACACATAATGTAAAGATACTTTTAAAATGAACACTTAAATTTAATAAATTACTTTTTCACATAGGGCCAAGTAGGTTTGGATAGCTTTTGCCCTCAATAAATGAAATCATCACTTAAAAACTGCATTTTGTATTTACTCGGGTTATCTTTGTCTAATATTAAAATTTTTGTTTGATGAACTGAACCATTTAAGTGTGATAAATATGCAAAAAAAAAAAAAAGATATCAGGAAGGGGGAAAATACTTTTTCACTTTGTCATAAGTGAGGTATAACACATGTTTGTACCAAATATGAAAGTAATCAGTCAAAAATTGCAGCCTGTACTGCGTTCACAAGGACATCTCTATGTTTTGGCACTAATTTGCGTATTATTCGGCCAATACTGTCACCTTGGCAACCAAGATCGATAGGTGTCCTAAGTGAGTTGTAACACATGTTCATACCAAATATGAAAGCAATCGGTCAAAAATTGCAGCCTGTACTGCGTCCACAAGGAAATGTCTGTGTTTTGGCACTAATTTGCGTATTATACGGCCAATACTGTTGCCGTGGCAACCAATATTAATTGGTTTCATAAGTGATGTATAACACATGTCCACACCAAATATGAAAGTAATTGGTCAAAAAGTACAGCCTATAGAGCGTTCACAAGAAAGTGTCTACGGACGCGGTGGAGACGGCACACGTGAACCCTTAGTAGCTGCCCAACTTCGTCCAGGGGCTACAATAAAAAATATATCATTTACAGATGTGCAATAAGTTGATGTTAAGTGGAAGTTTTCTCTCCATATGCCGTACGTTAGAGCTGCAATACGTGGATGAGTTCAATTCGAAGCTTTGCCTCCAGGTGCTGTGAGTAAGAGCTGCAGTAAGAGGCATGAGACGAAGAATAAAGTCTGTTTCTGTTGTTTCTTCATAGGGTTCAAGTAAAAAGAGCCGAGTCTCCAGTACCAAGCTGTGCCTCTATGAAGAGTGATGCTTCAAGGAATGCCCTGTTTAACTTCCGAGGAGAGTTTAATGGTGATCAAAGGTAAATTAACTGGTTCATGTTGATATTTCTGTTCAACCCCTTAAGCCCTGAGCCTCTTTTTCGAAAATGGCAAGCCCAAAATGAAATTAGTATATCTCTGCAGCTATTTGGTCCATTTGAATGATCTTGGTATCATAATAAAGGTAAAACCATTTGGGATTTCTGCCATGGTGTAAAAATCAGTGTATATGTCACTGAGTCAGAGTAAATGAAGATGGAACACAGTATAAATCAAAGACCTCATTTTGCACCAAACAAAGTTTTACTTCTATCCCTTGTAAACTTAATTAGTTGCAGTCTGAAACCTCTAAAAATTTACAGCACAGAATCTCACCATTATCTGTGCCAAAGTCTATTCTAATCAAGTAAATCAGAACAAAATTAGAGAGGAATATCCAGGTGGCTTCTCCAAATTGGCAATATAGGTACCTTGTGTGCCAAATCAGATTTCTCAGATATTAAACTGTAAAACTCATCTAATTTCACTTTTATGTCACTATAGGCATACATTCCATCCAAATACAACCAGTTTTAAATTTTTAGAATTTATTATTTTTTTTAATTATTATTATTTCTGCCAGTCCTATAACCTATACAATTTCCCATTCAAATACAATAAATACAAAGAAAATGAAGTTTGGCTCCACTGGAGCAGATTTATTTTTTTAAAAAAGCAAATTAATAAGATTATGAATACAAAAAGGGTTAAAAAAATGGGGAAAAAAAGTCAAAAGAATAAAAACCCCAGCAATTATTTATATACTGACCAAAAAAACGCAATTACGTAATCTGGTGCCAAATTTCGACAAACCCATTGAGAAAGATGCTTTTGCTCTGAGTTATTTTTGGAGGTGAGTACTTCTACCATACAAATTTTTGCAGTCACAGCGCACATTCTGGAGCCGCCATTCATCCGGGACCAAACAATCAGCAGTGCTTGGGTTCGAGTACTACCATTGTCCTAACACTCCTTTTGTTTTAAGTTCCCCGAAGACACCGGGGCCTAAAAAAGTCCGACCGAAAATGAGTAAAAATCAGATGGGTTATAAAGCCACGATTAACGGAAGTTCAACGAGAATGCGCAATTGGGATGCTACAGGCCGGAAGTCAGGTAGAAAGAGTTGCCTTTCAATTCCGCATGCACTCTGCAACAATTGGTCGCCTCAGAACCAGGTTTAATGCCACTGGACATACGGCCGATCGCCCCAGATCTGGTAGGCCACGTGTTACGACTCCAGCGATTGACCATCGTATCACGACCGACTGTCTGCTACGCACAGAACCAACCTTCATTTTGTTGAAGGAAACCACAAAGCCGTCCGTTACAGCACTGAAATTCTCTGTCCAGTCGTCCTTCCATTTGTTCGACGTCACCGACTGACTTTTCAACAGGACAATGCGCGTCCGCACGTGGCACGTATCTGTATGGAGTTCCTTTGGGCTGAAAACGTGCATATTCTTCCCTGGCCAACGTTTTCTCCAGATCTTTCTCCTATAGAACACTTGTGGGACATTCTGGATTGAGCGATCTGGAGAAGGCAACCACCGCCAGCTACAGTACGTCAGCTAAGACAAGTACTGACCGAAGAGTGGAACAGTGTTCCACAAGCAACAACCAGACGTCTGGTGATGTCTATGAGACGCAGGTGTACCGCCATGTGCAACGCTAACAGGGGACATACGAGATACTGATAGTGTCATTTGTGTTTCGTAATGTTGAACTTCACCTTGTTAAATAAAAGCCAGCATGGCAATATTCCAACCCGATTTTCTGTTGTATCTATTGTCTGAGATTACCTCTTTCATTTGATAGCAATGAAGTTTTGATTAATAACAGTTACACTCGGTAAAATCAAGAAATAGAAAATTGCGTTTCTTTTTTTGGTCAGTATACAAGCAAAATGGTACTACTGTCTTACAAAAGCACGCCTGACTAGGGACTCGAACGCTGGTCACCTGCGCTGTAGACTTACACCCTAACCACTAGGCTATACCATTTGACTAGTAATGCTGGTCTTAAATTGCCCATATAAAGAATGAGTCAAAAAACAAGTCACTCACCTTGTTTGTACTGTTGTGCCCTCAGTATTCACGCGTTTCTGTCAGAAAACGACTTTGAAAACGACGGTTGAATATTTAGCGGATAATTATACTGAAAATACCACAAACAAACCTGTTAAGCGTTTATATTGTTGCGCTATTTAAGTACATTCGAATGGCCCATGGACTCGGTTTGACACACTGGGAACGCAAAGCTCTGGCTCAGGCTAGCTTTTTGCGATAAAGGTGCTTTAGGGCTCGTTGGAAACGTCAGAAGCCATAGAATCAAATAGCTACCGGCAAAGTCTTACTGACAGCATCACAAGCCAACCACAGAGAGGAAAATATATTGCAAGCAAGCTGAATGCTGAGGAACTGAGATCTTTGAAGCAGTGCTCGAGAAGAAAAACATGCTTTGAGACTCGCAGATCTAGTTTCGTTATAACACGGGCACATTGAGCTAACAATAGCAAGTGTGGATTTACCCTCAAACAGTTTTTTTTTACTACAAAATATCAAAGGTTAGAAATTTCTTTGCTCATCTCTGTAGACTGTAAAGTGTATGCTTGCTTTTCTTTGAGTGTGGTGTCGGTTTAAAGGGATAGTTCACTTTTTTTGAAGTGGGGTTGTATGAGCTACAAATTGCCACTACTTACATTAGATGCAGTAGAAAGATCTCTGATCTCCTCCAGGTAGCCGCACCAGCGATAGTGCTGGGTGGAAATTTAGCGTACACTGTTGCTTAGCGGGACCAGGAAAAAGCGTATTTTGCAGCCTAAAAGAGGTCCAACCTGAAATAATACACCATTTCAATTGTACGCTATATTAAAAAAAATTACAGCGCTTTACCTGCTCGGAAAAAAACACAGTTGCTCTTGAACTAACCAACTGACGTAGTCTTCCGCAAGGCGCATCGTAGTTAACTGCGCGCTGTAGCAATCAGCTGTTTGGGTCACAGTAAAGGTGCTTGCACACTGGACGTGAAAGCGAATTTTTCAAGACGACAGATTACATTCAAAGTCAATAGACGCCGAATACACGCAGAAATGCGCAGATTCGCATCTTCGCATTGACTTTGAATGTAATCAGTCTTGCGAAAAATTTGTTTCATGTCTAGTGTGCAAACGGCTTAACTGCGGTTGCGAGGTCGGACGGTTGTTAAACTTGTGCAGATATTTCGAAAATGGTCCGTGTGTGTTGCTTTCCTGGACGTGAAAGCAAAACTGTATCCTGGTGCACTTACAGCTTCCACCGCATTCCTCTGCGGGATGGACTTTGGCAGCTGTGGCTAGCTGCGCTCAACATGGATATTGATACACCATCTGTATCCCTAAAAGAGCTCCGTGTTTGCAGTATTCATTTTTCCCAAGAGGATTTCGTGAGGCTACATTCAGGGAAATCTCAACGGTGCACGCTGAAAAGCTCTGCTGTACCCATGCATCAGGTAAAAGAGTGAAACTCCTGTGAAAAAAGTCTAATGTAACATTGCAGCACAAATTGATATCGCATAGGGTCTACGCAGCCACATCCTACTGTGTATCTGCTGTGCTGGTTATTATAGGGATTTTTTTTTTCATTTGAGACGTAATTCTATGCCATTGAAATGCTGTCTCTGCCACAAACCGCTCAGAGTCTGACCCAAACAGCTGATCAGTTTACTCAGATGGAATATGTCAGTTGGTTAGTTCAAGAGCGACTGTGTTTTTTTCCGAGCAGGTAAAGCACTGTAATTTTTTTTAATATAGCGTACAATTGAAATGGTGTATTATTTTCAGGTAGGATCTCTTTTAGGCCGCAAAAATATGCCGTTTCCCTGGTCCCGTTCACAACAGTGTATCGCCTAAATTTCCACCCAGCACTATGCGCTGGTGCGGCTACCTGGAGGAGATCAGGGAGCTTTCTACTGCATCTAATGTAAGTAGTGGCAATTTGTAGCTCATACAACCCCACTTCAAAAAAAGTGAACTATCCCTTTAAAATGACGGGGCTCATATCGTTGGATTCTGTGGACTTTCCTCTTTCATTTGAGGTATGGTTTTTATGCATAGCACAAATTCAGGAGAAATTCTAGCGATTCAGCGCTGATATGATTTTATCCTATGTTTTGCTACATGCTTATTTACTTGCTTGGTGCTTGAATTGTGTTCGGTTGAGGTAAAAATTATCTACATGAGCTTTTTGCCTAGTTTCTTCGCGAAACCCCCCCCACAGACTTTTTCCTGTCGCACAAAAACGTTAACAGATATGATCTAATGCTTCTAGGTAATTGTTTATTCATCCTTTGCGCTCATTTTCATGAAAAAAACGATGAGGGTACCTCACCCCCCGGGGGTAGGGTAGGTCGTCAAAGTCGAAGAGTAGGGGGGGTGGTTGCCACCAGCGTCAATTTTTGCCTGGTTTTGATAAAAAATATGCTTACAGATTAGTTGCAACTAGTATGCTATTATTATGTTTCATGCTCAATGAACTTTGTAGACCACACTGATTGTCATCCTTATTGATTTGTTGATGTAGCTTGTCCTTGTTTTTTTTTTTTTTCTGTTTTGGTCAACATGAGTCATTTTACTAATTAGTGACATCATTGTAATGTACATTTATTACATTACTGTTACTCCTTGGTATATAACAATATGTATGATACTACAAAACCCAAAACCAGTGAAGTTGGCACGTTGTGTAAATCGTAAATAAAAACAGAATACAATGATTTGCAAATCCTTTTCAACCTATATTCAATTGAATACAAAGACAAGTTACTTAATGTTGAACAGGTAAACTTTGTAATTTTTGCAAATATTAGCTCATTTGGAATTTGATGCCTGCAACATGTTTCAAAAAGCTGGCACAAGTGGCAAAAAAGACTGAGAGAGTTGAGGAATGCTCATCAAACACTTATTTGGAACATCCCACAGGTGAACGGGCTAATTGGGAACAGGTGGGTGCCATGATTGGGTATAAAAGCAGCTTCCCTGAAATGCTCAGTCATTCACAAACAAGGATGGGGGTGAGGGTCACCACTTAGTGAACAAATGCGTGAGCTGATTGTCTAACAGTTTAAAAACAACATTCCTCAACGAGCTATTGCAAGAAATTTAGGATTTCATCATCTACGGTCCGTAATATCGTCAATAGGTTCAGAGAATCTGGAGAAATCACTGCACGTAGTTTACAAGGCCGAAAACCAACATTGAATGCCCGTGACCTTCGATCCCTCAGGCGGTACTGCATCAAAACCGACATCAGTGTGTAAAGGACATCACCACATGGGCTCAGGAACACTTCAGAAAACCACTGTCAGTAACTACAGTTCGTCGCTACATCTGCAAGTGCAAGTTAAAACTCTACAATGCAAAGTTTAAAGCCATTTATCAACAGCACCCAGAAACGCCCGGCTTCGCTGGGCCCAAGCTCATCTAAGATGGACTAATGCAAAGTGGAAAAAGTGTTCTGTGGTCTGACGAGTCCACATTTCAAATTGTTTTTGGAAACTGTGGACGTCGTGTCCTCCGGACCAAAGAGGAAAAAGAACCATCCGGACTGTTATAGGCGCACAGTTCAAAAGCCAGCATCTGTGATGGTATGGGGGGTGTATTAGTGCCCAAGGCATGGGCAACTTACACATATGTGAAGGCACCATTAATGCTGAAAGGTACATACAGGTTTTGAGCAACATATGTTGCCATCCAAGCAACGCCTTCTTTTTTCATGGACGGCCCTGCTTATTTCAGCAAGACAATGCCAAGCCACATTCTGCACGTGTTACAACAGCATGGCTCCGTAGTAAAAGAGTGCGCGGTACTAGACTGGCCTGCCTGTAGTCCAGACCTGTCTCCCATTGAAAATGTGTGGCGATTATGAAGCGTAAAATACGACAACGGAGACCCCGGACTGTTGAACAACTTAAGCTGTACATCAAGCAAGAATGGGAAAGAGTTCCACCTGAAAAGCTTCAAAAATTGGTCTCCTCAGTTCCCAAACGTTTACTGAGTGTCGTTAAAAGGAAAGGTGATGTAACACAGTGGTAAAAAGGCCCCTGTGCCAACTTTTTTGCAATGTGTTGCTGCCTTTAAATTCTAAGTTAATGATTATTAGCAAAAAAAAAATAAAGTTTCTCAGTTTGAACATTAAACATCTTGTCTTTGCAGTGTATTCAATTGAATATAAGTTGAAAAGGATTTGCAAATAATTGTATTCTGTTTTTATCTACGATTTACATAACGTGCCAACTTCACTGGTTTTGGGTTTTGTAATATTGTTTACAGTAGCACTAGTATAGTACATGTAGAGTAGTGGAAAGTTGCTTACCTTCACCTAAAATTGAGGGAGGAAATATGTAACAGCTAAATTTGAGGGAAAAATACATGGATTTTTGTATTTTTTTCAGATATGACATCTATAATGACGCCGTTGTGACGTCACAGTGCTGAAGTTTGTGATATTTGATTCTTGTTTTGAAAGAGAACATATGTACCAGACATATTACTGATATAATAAGCCTTGTTCTATCATAGGGAAAAATAAAGTAAAGAAAATGTGAAAAATGTTCAGAAAACTTTTTGTGTGTGTTTTTCCCAAAATGAGTTATTTATGACATCATAGTAACAAATTTATGTTACTCATGAGTTTATAACATTTATAATAATACTAAAATATTAATTGCAGTATCAGTAGTTCTAGAGGTTACAGAAAGTTACTTATTTTCAGCTAAAACTAATTTGATGTTTTTTTCCTAATATGGCGTTAGTTATGACGTCACTATGACGTCATAATGTCGAAATGTGTTTTATTTGTACTTGATTTGAAGAGAGGACATCTGTAGCTGTACACTGATACCAAACAAGATGATGTTTATCGCTTAATTTCGAAATAATCAGGGGGGTGGTAACCACCCCCCTTGGTCGGGGTTGTAGTAGAAAAACCCTTGGTTGGACGAGGGTTAATAAATGACTTTTTCAC